CTGTTTAATATTGCTGACTGACGAAATAATATCAGGGGCCTTCTCCTTAGTGCACCTTGAACCCAGGATAGAGAGAGATGGATTTGGGTGGCAGCCCTGCCTGGTTTGCCCCGAGATGCTTATCTAGTGCAGAAAGGAGACTTCATCCTCGATACATGGAGACTCATGCGTGTGGTGGAGTTAGAGTGTCAGGGCTGCAGCCCGTCTCTTTAGCTTCTGAGCTGCATGTTGAGCTACGGGCACCCTCCTGTGACTGAAGCTCCTGGGAGCCAGTGGGTTGTCCAGAGGGAAATGCAGTCATTTATTACTAAAAGAATATCATACTTGTATTAGATATTTTCCTGCTCTTTCTCTCTCAAGGTTTTTGCTTTGGAACCCCTGTGGTAAATGCTAAAGTGGTCGCCATGGTGACGATTTAGTGGTTTATGATTTATTCATTCAGCATTTCTTTATCATAATTGTGGAATTAATAATTATCATTTTTTAGAATGATGGTATTTCAGGCACTGTGCTAAACACCATACATACATGATCTCATTTAATTTTCATAACAACCCTATAATGTGGGCATTATCTCCATTTACTGAAAAGAAAACTAAAGCTCCAGAGAAGTTAAGTGACTTGATCAAGGTCACACAGCTTATAAGTGACAGAGCCAAAACTTGAACTCAGGGCCGTATGACACCAGAGCCTAGCCTTTTTCTGTTACCTACTGTTCTGGCAGCACTTGAAGGAGCCTCACTATGTTCAGGGAGATGCAGCCAGGAAACTTCAGTGTTCATGAGTTTCGTGCATATAAAATGCAAACTGTCTGAGATTTTAGAGAGCACCAGCAACTGCAAATATATATATGAGAACTTGAAGGGAATAAGAAAATCCTCCTGGAAAACCAGGCTTGCAAAACCTAGATAAGCAAGTGGCCTTTTCCAACAGTGGTGTGCACAAATAACAGTAAAATGACTCACATTTGGGCTTGATTCACAGATACACTTGGAGCTGTATCTGCAAGAAGAGGGTGTAAATTGGAATTTACAGCATAGCTTTGCGAAAGTACCAACGCTTACTCCCAGTAGCAGGAGAGAAGCAACTGCTTGTGCAGGCAAGAAGCCCAGCTACCTGATTTGCTGTTCTTTCCCGGACGTTCTGTAAATATTTACTGAGGGCCTTCCATGCACCAGGCCCAGCTCTGTGCTGCCACTGGGAGTATGGAAATGAATGACACATGGTCCTTCCCTCGGGGCTTAGCAGGAGTCCACATTATACTTGGCACTTGAGCAAAGGCCATGGCTCTTCATCACCCCAAAAGTGGTGAAGTAGGAATGTGTATATACCCTTTCACAGATTCGCTGACCAAGGACAGAGGAGGAGATGTGAGTTGCTGGAGGCTGCCCAAGTAAACAGAAACCAGAACATTCTCTCTTAGGCCACATCCATCTCATTCACTGTTTCATTCCCAACACCTGGTTTACAAGACTTGGCACAGAACAGGCACTCAATAAATGCTGAATGAGTGGATTGGTTCTGATATTCCCTCTGAAGAGGTAGTGTATATTGGGGAGGGATAAGAGAGGGCTCCTCCATAGCCTGTCACCTCCATCTCCCCTCCTGGCCAGAGGAGCAAAAGGGAGAGTCCATTCAGACCAGAGGAAACATCTGCTCCTTGGGAAGGTCACATTTCTTTCTGGGGGTTGTGAGTGAGGCTCCCAAATACAGAGCTTCTCCCTTGGGAACCTGGGAAGTATCAAGGTCCCCTTTCTTAGGCTTCTCAGGCTGGGAGGGGTGGGGGAAGGGAAACAAAGGGCTCAGCTGAAGCATCTGCAACCTGGTACCTGGCCAGTAAGTAAAGGCCTGCATAGGCCTGTGGTCTTGGGTCCAGGGTGGTCTGCCATTATTTATTGCACACAGATATACCCCACACAGCCTCACTCGCCTGGACAGACTGCCAGGCCACTCACAGAAGCTGTTCACTCAGTGAGCTTGTGCTGAGCATCCGTTCATTTCTGGGACACGTGATCACCCAGCACAGAGGGGATAGGGACTTTCACACCTCCTAGAGGAGGCAAGGTGGGGACATAAGTGTGGCTGTTCTGGGGAAGGAGATAAAGGTGAGAGGTCTGGGTTGCCTACTGTCAGCATTTAAGAGCAAAAGAGAACTTTGGGGAGGGTAGATCAAAGGAGCCTTTCTGGGTGGGAGGGGGTTAAGCTGAGCTTTCAAAAAATAGGACTAGACCAGAATTTTTCTTGATCTCATAGAAGAAGTTAGTTTTAGACATTAGTTTTTAGATGTGACTAGTGATCTTATACTTAAAATCTTATCATTTTGAGACTCTGGACAGCCCTTCCAAATAGTCATCAAGCCAGAGCCTGGTTTCTGTCCCCACTTAGTCACCAAGCAAATGTTTGCAGGCTTGCAGACCAGCCGGTCCTGGCCCAGACCTGGACACTACTCTCTTCACTAAGGGTCTATTTACTATCTTTGGCCATGAGCTGGGATAGTCCACTAGGTGTCTGTGTTTTATGAAAAGGCACCATGGTTTAGTAGACAGAATTTAGGCTTTGTGTTTATGAGGACCACTTACTATAAGAGTTCTGTAAGCCTCAGCTTCCTCATCTGTAAAATGGGAATAATACTAATAGTGCTCTCTGGGAGTTGTCCTGAGCATTAGAAAAGTTAGGGATGTGAAAGCACACATAGTAGGTGCTAAAATACATGGCAGCAACTATTACTATCAATGAAGTAAAATGCCATGAGGAAGCTGACTCCTAGGACAGGGGCAGGAGCAAGGACTAGGTCACACCTCTCTGCTGGCCTCCTAACAACCACTGGACAGTAGTGGCTCAGTCGCTGCCTCTCCCTGCTCTGGTGAACCACAGCCAACAGCCTGAAAGGCCACGGGTAGGGAGGACATTCAGTCAGCCCAGGAGGCTGCTTCTGCTGCTGGCTTCTGTCTCAGGCTGTCTGTCTCCATGAACGTGCTGCCTGAGGACAGCTGGACGAAACAAATGACCAGGTGCTTCTCCCTGGTCCAAGGCTCTCTGTACTCTGAGTGGGACACTCTGCCTGGACAGGTCGTATTGGCTTCCAGGTTCTCTCCCCTCCCAGTAAGGGCGTTCCTGCTAGCTCCCTTCTGGTCCAGGGCCACAGCACTGCACATCTTCAGGAGGTGCCATTCACATTCTGTCACCTTCCTAGGGACCTCCTGTCAGAGTTGAGATTTTAGCTGCTTGAACTGCCTTGGCATATCTCCTGGCCTCTGGGGGAAGGGTGTAGCAGGAGGGAAGGCTACAGAGAAGGAATTGAGGAGAGATGAGGCTGGAAGACAGGAAGATAGTGCATCAGATTCCAGAGGGTTCTATAGGCGCAGTATGGGCTTTATGCTGAATGTAACAGCTTGTAATAGGGAAGTGGTCCCCTCAGCTGGGTTTCTTTCTCCCTTCTACCCCTAGCTCCCCTTCCCTAATCCCCCACCAAGTTTGCTTTATAATTCATTGGCATAAAAGATTGGGTTGCCCAAAAAGCTGAAAGTGCTGCATCTCACACTAAAACTATCCATAACACTGATCGTGTCTCACACTTGATTGTGCTTGATGGTTTCCAAAAAGCTGTCTCCTGGTCCAAGGAAGAGCACAGCCTTGGGAATATCGCATCTGCCTTGGTGTGAAGCCTGTTCTCTCTGACTCTCAGGCTCCTCTATAAAATACAGATTCTCATGAGGCACAAATGAAACACAATACTTTGTAAACCATGAACTTCAGAAATATTTCTTTCCCACTGATTGCCTCATTGATTTCACTATAGCTGTGTAATCCCCCAAATAAACTACTTTCCTCTCCATTTTATGGATGAGAAAACTGAGGCTTGTCCATGATAACATAGTTAATAAGTGGCAGAATCTAGACTAGAATCTAATTTCCTGACTTCTTTACCCCATAATATCATCAGCTTCGAAAGACTGGGATTTCTGTGAATGTAGCTTCGATGGATGGTAAAGATTTACCTCCAGGACTTGCCTCATTTGTGGCATCAGCAGAAATTGTATTTACTTTCTTTCTTTGTAAATTACATCCACTTAGCCACATACCCTTGGGCACTTAACTTACCTGCTCCAAGTCTAAGTTTTTTATCTTTAAATTGGCTATGATAATACCTGTTGCTTCAAGTAATTATAGGCAGTAAATAAAATATTTATTTCAATCTCTTTATCTGTAAAATGGGGATAAAAACAGTCCCTGCTCTGTGGTAGGTTGTGAGGATTAGTTGAATTAACACATGCAGAGGGCTCAAAACAGGGCTGTGGCACATACTGTGTGCTTAAAAAATGTCGGTGGCAGTTTTTCACCACCCAGACACCAGCATGGCTCCCTTTACTCAAAATTATCTTCTCCCTGAGGCCACCGTATCTGAAATTTCACCACTGCTCCTATGTGCACAGGCCACAGTCCTCTTCTGGCTTTTATCACCATTTCAGTAAACTATGTTTTACTTTTTGTAGCTTGCTTCATTTACTATGTGCCATTATATATGATCAGCGCTTCTTGAATTTTAGCGTACATCAGAGTTACCAGGAGGGTTTGTGAAATCAGATTGCTGGGCCCCACCGCAGGGTTCACGATTCAGTCAGTCTGGGGCAGGGCCCCACAGTTTTCATCTCTAACAAATTCCCAGATGTTGTTGAAGGTCCCGGACCACACTTCAAACACCATGGTCCTAAAAGCATGAAAGCATCGATGTGAAGTTGCTGACACTGCAAATAGTCGTTTTTTATGTTGTTTATCGTTTCTCTTCCCTACTACTAGACTTTAAGCCCAACGGGGATAGGAATTTTTGTCTGTTTTGTTCGTTGATGTACCCCCAGCACCTAGAATAGTAGCTGCTCAATAAACACCTGTTGCCTACTTATGTATTGAATGCTTTGCTGTTTGCCGGGGCCTGCCCCTGTGGTCTTGTGGCCAGTGGCCGGCTGGCCGCCCGCTGACCGCGTGTTCCGTTTGCGCCCTAGATCACCCCGGCGGCCTGCAGAACCACCCACGGCTCCGGACACCGCCGCCGCCCCTGTCGCACGCGCACACCCCCAGCCAGCACCACGCCGCCTCCATTAACTCCCTGAACCGGGGCAACTTCACGCCGAGGAGCAACCCCAGCCCGGCGCCCACCGACCACTCACTGTCCGGAGAGCCCCCCGCCGGCGGCGCCCCGGAGCCCGCGCACGCCCAGGACAACTGGCTGCTCAACAGCAACATCCCCCTGGAGACCAGGTGCGGCCGGGCGGAGGCTGGGGGCGGCGCGGCAGAGGGGGGCATTCTCTGAGTGCGGGAGAAAAGGCCGGGGTGCGGGTTGGCGGCGGACACAGCCTGGGCTTCGGAGCCCAGCAGACCCGAGGGCCGGCGCTAGCCAGCCTGCTGCTCGCTCCAGGTATGGCCTCAGTCAAGCCGCTGGACCTCTGTGCCTCACTGCCCTGTCTGCACGGCGGCCAGGGCGCGCGCTGGCCAGGCCCTGGGTAAAGGAGACGAGAGCTGATGTGTGAGGCCCTGGCGCAGGTGCGTGGCAGAGCCCGCTCTCAGTGCAGGTGTGATTCCCACACTCCCTCGGCCTTTCCCTACCTGATCTCATCACCCTGTGCCTAGCACCTGGCACGCCTGGCCGGGGTGGGCACTCGGGTCTTCCCCTTCTCTGCTCCTTTCCTGCTGTTCTATCACTTACACCCGAAGCCCTAATAATCCCTAACATTTATACATCAGCTGCTGGTTACAAGGATTTTCCTGTGTGTGGTATAATGAATGTAATCCTTACAATTTTATGAAGTGGCATTATTATGATGATCCCTATTCGGGAGTTTTGGAAGCTGCGAATCAGAGTGGGCCCATCACTAGCTCAGGAGCATGTAGGCAGTTGATGCACAGCTAAGATTTGAACCCAGGTACCTGACTCCCTGTCCAGCGGTGATTCCCCTATACCATGGCCACTTTCCCTAGGTCTCTACTAAGCGGATCCCTCGGCCCTCTCCCTTCTTCCTTCAGCTCAGGGACTTCAGCCAGCCTGAGTTCAGTAGCTGGTACCCTTCCCTCTGCCTGGCCACTATTTTTCCACAATGGAATGCTTTAAAATCATTATAAACCCATACTAGCTCACTGGAGAAAGTGCAGAAAGATATAAAGATGAAAATTAGATTTACCCATAATCTTACCACTCTGAGATAAGCACTGGTGACTCTGGGGGCACACACAGCCTTTCACTACTTTCTCTACACTGAAAATGAAGCGTCCCGGGCTGGCAAAAGTGGAACCTCTTAATCTTCTACCCTATGTCTTAAAGTAGTAGGAAACATGATTTTATTTTCCCATACTCTTGAGCTTTATCTGTGAAGAAAACCAAGTCATACCAGATTTAAGGATGTAAAATTAATCCATACATAGGGAAGTATAGCCACATGACTTCCAAGTACACAACTATAGTATTGTCACATTGAGTCTGTGGAGTCCAAAGAGAGAAAATCAACATCCTTTTGTACCATTTTATTCCTGTGGAATCATTTCTCCAAAAGCAGATTTCTTAGAGATGCGGCCCAACCGGCTCCTCTCCAGCCCCCAGTCTCTTAGTTAAATATTGTTTCTGTTGGCATGCTTTAAAATCGTGTGACTTTTCCCTTCGTGCCTCTTTTGCTCTCATCAGTAACAGAGTCGCATAATCGTCCATCATCCCGCCAGGGTAGCTCAACTAGATCTCCATTGTTTCCAGTGTGCTTATTGAATGACTAAACATGGCTGAAAGAAGCCAGCAACTAATGGGTGGTTCTGATTCTCCGCACGGACCACCGTCACCACTCCCTTTGCTCAGATGTTCATTTCTCTCACTTAGGATCAAATTAGGACTTCCGACTTTGAGTCTCCAGGTTTTTCAAGGGAAAGGAAGATAGAGGACCAGCAGTAGGGAGGTTTTTGCTAATGGTCAATTTGCAATGTGAAGGTGGTCCCAGCTCACCCCTCTTGCCCCATCAGCCAGTGCTCACCTGCCTTTCTGACCCTCTATTCTCCCACATCCATTGTGCAAGCCACACGGAACCTTTTCTTTTTCCTTATACTTCATTACTCAAGTAAGCAATGTTCATTGTAGAACAGTTAAAAAATGAAATAAGCAAAAAGAAAAGAAAATCACCTATATATATCACTAAAAGGTAACAACCATTGTTAACACATAGGTATATACTCACATACACCACTTTATATATTCATGCACATATATAACAAATTATATATGATATATTGTACATATATTTAACATTCAGTATATATCTGTGCATGTATAATACATACATGTGTATTTATAAACATTTTCCCAGATGCCAAGCCCTTTCATGCCTCTGTGCCTTTGCACATACTCTTGCACAACTCTGCTGGAGTTGCCCACCTTCTCACTTCTTGGTCTAACCAAGCCCTACTTATTCTTGAAGCCCTAGCCAAAATGTGTCAGGAAGGCTTCCTCTGTGCATCTAAGGACAGCCTAAAACTGAGAGAGGTGCCTAATACACTAGATAGCACAATCAGCATTCTGGATCTCAATACTGACCTTAACTGGTTGATGGCACAGAACTAACAAGGTACAGTTTAAGAGGGATCAATGTCAAGTCTGACAGATAGAATCACAAGGTGATCAGGTGGAAAGGATATGGGCTTTAAAGTCCAATGGACCTTCATTCCTACCTTGGCTTTAACATTACTGGCTGGGCAAGTTCCTTAACATCCCTGATCCTTGATTCCCCCATCCATATATTGGGATAAGAATTCATGCATCTCAAAGAGGTAGGGAGGAAATAAATGAGATATGTAAGAAATACACAGCATAGTGCCTGGCAGTTAAAAGCCACACTATAAAAGCTATTGTCCCTTTTTTGTATACATTTGCTTCCTTTATCAATCCTGCTAAGAGAAAAATTACTCACAAAATATTTATTGAGCTCCCACTCACCGGACGAGTTAAAAAGAACTAGTAGGTTCTACCTTTTCTTTTCTTTGGAAAAGTAAATTTGGTCCTGATATTCTGCAGGTATAAGTGATGGTCCATTCACCATAGCAGATTGTTCAAAGCACAGGTTTTAGGGTCAAACAGACCCTGCACTCAAACCCCTACCCTAGTCTTCACTAGCTGTAGACCTAGACTTTAAATTTCATCTCTAAAATGGAGAAAATAATAGTGCCTTTCTGTTCTGATTATCTATTGCTATATAACAAACAAACCACTCTTAAACTTAGTAGCTTAAATAGCATCCAGTTGATTATATTTCACAATGTGAGTCAAGAGTTCAGGAAGTGCTCAGCTGAGCTATTCTTCTGCTCCACATGGTGTTAACAGGAGTCAGTTGGTGGTACCCAGCTGGCAACTAGACTAGTCTTAAGGCTCCAAGATGGCTTCACTCACATGCCTTGGAGAGGTTATCTGGAAATATCTGGGCTCAGTGGTACCTTACTGTAATGTAGTCTCTGGGCCTCTCCAGATGGTCTTCCCAGCAGAGTAGTTGTACTTCATACTTAGTGGCTTAGGGCTCTAAGGCACTGAGACAGAGCCGTTGACCCTTTTAAAGGCTTGCACTGGAAATGGCACAGTGTTACTTCTGCCATATGGTGTTGGCCAAAACAATCATGGGCTGGCCAGCTTCAAGGAGAAGGGAAACAGACCCCACCTCTCATTGAGAGAAGTGTCAAAAAATTTGTGGCTATCTTTAATCCATTATGTTACCTCCTAAGGCTATTGCAGCAATTACATTAAGATAATGTCTGAAAATGTCTTAGCATACAGTAAGTGCTCATCTACTTTTCATGTAGTACTTGTTATCCAATAAATAGTCACTGAATGTGCCTAACAGGGCAGACACTCAAGAGAACAGACTCTCTTACAGTAGGATAAGCACTATGACAGAGGTAAGCACAGAGAATGGGCTGCGTTTTAATTGGCTTGGGATCCCCAACACTTAACCCAGGGCTTGCCACAACATGGTGGCTGCTTGCTAAATAGTCACACACGGGTAAAATGAATGAATGATGGAACGAATAAATGAATAAACATACTTAACTGAGACTTGAGTGGGGAAAAGGGAGGGCTTCCTAGTAGACCTGGTACAGTGTGACTGAGAGGTGAAGAGCAAGCAGGTGTACCCCAGGTATGTGAGGGGAGGAAGGGAGAGCCTTGGAGAGGCACAGTCTGAGCAAAGGCCTAGAAGACCAAGAAAGAAGGGCCTATTTGAGATAGTTGTCCTAAACAGCTTTTGGTAGGTCCCACTAGGAGGGGAGCTTCTCGATGCCAGAGAAACAGTCACTGACCCTTCCCTAATTGTCAGACTGAGTCTATGTTGGAGTCTAAAATAAATAGCTGAGCAAATACTGTAACAGCTGGTAGAATGACCAGGAGGGATTTAGGTTTCATGCTGGCAGGAAAAGAAAGACTAGCAGAAGGACGAAGGAGAGAGAGGGCTTCAGTAAGCCTGCTCCTTTCTCTGTTCTTGCTGTACCTCTGGCAATCTCCAGGGTTGACTGAGCCCCCCAGCAAGCAACGTGAGCCTACCTGTGCTCCCTAGAGCTGGGGTAAGATGGTGCTTTAAACTCCTCACGTGTACCTGTGATCCATTCTGGTGGGAGCCATATATAAGGGTCCCCCAAACCCTGATCCACTTCTTTTGCACTCTGCAGCAGATGCTTAATTGATTTCACAGGGACTATCTGATGAATAACCCGCCAGGCTCCTGTCAGTTGAGGAGAAGCCAGAGCAGGCAGCTGCCAAACCTCAACTCTAGCTCATCTGATCGCAGCCTGGTTTGGGAGCCTGGGGGCCATGTTGTGGTCATACTGAATTTGGGGAACAGCCCTGCTCACCCTCAGGGATGGGAACCACACTGGCAGTCTCCAGCCCAGCCCTGGTGTGGTTCCCAGAATGGCGCAGTGCCTTCCTGTGGGCCAGGCCAACCCCTGAGCATTGCAGAGAGCTGGGTTGGACAGTCTCCCTGTCTTTGTGATTCAGTCGCAGACACGCATAAGACACAGCCCACTGCCGTGTAAGAAGTGCATGATCCTTTGGGGGAAACAGACCACACCCATAAATGGATGAAGACAGGCACCACGAATAATGCTCTGATAGAGGGAATACTGTAAGCAGAGAGGAGGGTGTGGTTCCCCCTCCTTTGGCACATTAAATAATAACCATAATAAATATTCAAAAAGCCCTTACTGGGAACAGCCAGGTGCTGTTCTAAGTATTAGCTCTTTATGCC